AATGGTTTTTATACTGAACAAACCGTATTTTCTATCACACTACACCAACCCTACACCTAAACCTACCCGTCACAGGAAACTTTGTGCATTTTTTCTTTCTCAAAAAAATTAATATATTTATAAATTTTCTCTTCTTCTCTGTGCATTGCAGGCATTAATCCCTTTGGGAACCATATGGGAATGCAGTCCATGGGCCAGAGATCTACACCTCCTCTTCCACTCAGCACACCTCTTAACCAGGTCATTACTGTGACTGGAAGTGATACTTTTTGTAGTTTTATGGTTAAAGTTAGTTTTAAGTGTGTGTACAAAATATTTATTCTTAATGCTGAATGTTTTGGCTGTTTCAGGGAAGCATGGGCAGTGTGAGGATGCCACAGCCAAATGTTGCACAGATGCAAAATCAGTACATGCAAACTGGACAGTTTCAAGGTTCAAATCCTGCTCTTGGAGCTGGATCTGTTGACATGGCACACCCAGGAAATGACAGCACTGTCACTCAAGTAAGAGAGCATAGATGTTCTCTGAAATGTATTACATTCTTAATGTACAATCCAATTATGAGTCTTTGTCATTTAACATTCTAGAGCTGCAATGCATCATATGTGATACTTGTTCACAACTGCATCATGAATGCATTCTCAGAGTTTGCTCTTTTTTTTTTTTATTTATCAGCAGGGGCAAATGCCTACTTTATCATCTTTACCAATCGGCAGTCCTTTAGCCCAGCCTGGGTCTGCTGGAGGGGCAGGCAGCGGGTCTTCAGTGGGTTCTCTGGGTCCCAACAGCATGAGTGCGGTGCCTCCATCGTCCACCCCAACACAGTCCATCAACCTCCCCCACTGCCCACCCTTCCACCAGAATTCTCCTTCCCCAGCTCATAGCCGCACACCCACGCCCACGCCGGGCTCCCAGACACCCCAGCCTCACACACCCAGCCTACCCCAGTTAGCAATGAGCGGCAGTCAGCAGCAGTTACCTCTGTCCGCCAGTTCTGACAATGCCATGCAGCCTCAGCAGCAGCCATTAGGAGGAACTCCTCCTGCTGTGTCTCATAGTGGCCTCTCTACGCCAAATGCCAGCCAGTATCCCCGCACTCCAGTGAGTACTGCTGTTTGGTATGCAACAAAAATCCTGGGGCCTCATTTATAAAGTCTTGCCCATTCTCTGAAGTATTAAAAAATGCAGAAAAATGTTCCTAATGCATTCCACTTTATAAATTGCAGTCCATCTTAAATTCAAGTACAGTTTATGGTTCAGAAGTATGGCACTCATTATTAAGCTTAAATTGAAAAATATAAATGTACTTCATTATTTACCGGAAAATCATAGATAATTAATTACTTAATTTCAGTGACATTTTCACTGGTGGCCTTAGTTTTGGATCTTTTCATTTTTGACCTTTTTTGTTTTTTTCTTTCCTGTCTTAAGTTGTCTCATAAGGGTTCTCTACCAGTGGATGGCCAGGCTGCTACCCCTGCCTCCGTCAGCAGTGCGGACACATCATTTCAACAGGGTCCTTCAGACTCCGCAACCACCCTTGAGTCTAAGGTGGCGGTCAAGCAGAAAGTAGAAGAGGATGAGGATGAGGATGAAGATGAAGAAGACATGACAGGAGGAAAAACAGGCAAACAAGAAGACATTAACGCTAAGGAAAAGCCTGAGGTAAGAAATGGAAGTTTTATTTTCATTAAACAAGAATCAAAGTCTGAAGAATATTAATTCTCCCCTCTTTCTTTAAAAATTATTCCATGTGGATCGACTGCTTTCTTTGTAACTTATCAGATACAGAAAGAGAAGCCGAGTGATGGTGTGCCAATGGAGACTTCTTCAGCTGCAGCTGGGGAGGACAAAAAGCCAGAGATAAAGACTGAGCCTAAAGAAGAGGAGGAAGGTTCAGGGTCTACAGCAACCCACAGTTCACCTTCTGGAGTCCCTAACAAAAAGAAAAGTATGATCAGAACCCACCTTTGTATTTTAGCTGCTAAGGTTGTCTGCAGTACAAAACCAACCACTGGAACCTTGGTATTGATGCTCTATACCAGGGGTAGGCAAGTTCGGTCCTAGAGAGCCGCAGTCCTGCAGAGTTCAGCTCTAACCCTAATCAAACACACCTGAACAAGCTAATCAATGTCTTCAGGATTACTACATATAATGTAGGCAACAATTAAATAGACATGCAACATAATTAATAAATCTCACACTTCAACAGATACATTTTACTACTTGACCACAGATGTGTTAGCAATTTGATGCTTTAGGCCTGCTTACATTGAATCTCACCATCAGTAATGACTGAAGTGTTGATTTCAAATATTTTCATGCATGCCACAGGTTAACTGTTGCTGATGTATGGCTAAAATATTCATTGTTGCATCAGAGATTTTACTTTTACTTTTACTTTGTCATTTAGCAGACGCTTTTATCCAAAGCGACTTACAAATAAGAAAAAGTAATTAAAACTAAAAGCTAAAACTCTATAAATACTATATATATACACACACATTTAAGAAAATAAAAGAAATTAAATAAAAATGACAAATGCATACAACAACATTTCAAAAAGTTCATCAGTAATCCTAAAAAAAATAACACTGAGGCAAACACGCATGCTAAAATAACAGCAACTTACTGACACATAGTAAGAAATAGTTTATAAAAAACTGGCCAAGCAAAGCGCACGACACTGACAAGGTACGCGATACAGATTTTAAGAACTGATTTTGTAGTAATCCTGTTTCTTTTACTTGCTTTGTCACCAGTTTTTAAACCAGAGGAGCTGAGGCAGGCCCTGATGCCCACACTGGAGTCTCTTTACCGCCAGGACCCTGAGTCTCTGCCCTTCCGCCAGCCTGTGGACCCTTCACTACTGGGAATACCAGTACGTCTGCTGTCTGGTCACAGCCATCTTAATACAGTGCTGTTTTTTGTTTCACATAACCATACTATTAAAGGATAATTGGCTGATTTTTCAAGCAGTTTTGCATGGTTGTTTTCGCCAACATGACACTGGCTAATGCTTTTTTTGTTCTCTCTCACAGTTTGAGTTTTCTCCCCAAACTCTGTGCTGCTATGGGAAGCAGCTATGCACTATACCACGAGATGCTGCTTACTTTAGTTTTCAGAACAGGTAAGGAACTTAAAACTGAGGCCAATATCAACGGAAACACAAGCATACATATATACCTGAATGACCCATGTTATGATTATTTATTACATATGCATGTGAAACATGTTAAACAGCTTTTTTCCCCACTGTACCTGGCCGCATAAAGTGAACTGACAATTGCACCACAGTTGATAAGAGTGTCTTATTATCCCACCTTTTCCACCAATCAGTCCCTTGTAAACTCCTATGTGTGTAAAAAGACCTGGCATTTTAAAGTGTGCTCCTTTTATGCTACATCTAATTATTAAAACAATATTTATTTATATATGTATTTAACCCTCCAAAAGTCTACTTATATTTTGTCAAGGTTTCTTGAACCAAAAATGGTCAATTTTTACAAGGCCATTTTCACCATCTCTGCGTTTCTTTAAATTAAATTGTGGTTGGTTATATGTTAATGTTTTCATAATACATAGATAAAATATATGTAAAAGAGTTGTATTTCTCATGGTATGACCCCTTTAATGTCTTCTCATGATTTTCAATTATTTCAGTAATTTAATTTCAATAATTGCTTGTAAATCTATACAAAATGTACAACTTTGCTCTTGTACATTGATTAATGCCAGTGTCATGAAAGGAGCAATTCTTATTTTTTTAAATGACACCTTTAAAATGCCTGTTTGCTTGACTTTATGGCTGCAGTCTTTTTGTTCATGTTTAATGTGCTCATGTGTCCATAAGTCTCGACACCCTTCGCAATTGATTCTGCTCCTGATTTGCTATAATGATTTTTCCTCATTATACATGTAAATGCTAATCTGTGCTTTGCTTTGGCTTTCTGCTTGTCTCTGTTGTTGTCTCCCTCCTTATTCATCCATTTCTGTCTTGTCTAATGTTTTTTTTTGTCGACCCTTTTCTTCTCCACTGTACTTTGACGTTTGTCGTGTCTGCTATCGCCTGCTTTCATCTGACCAATCATCTGCACCTAAACCCCTCCCTGCTCAAAACCCCTGCTCAAAAATCCTGCATCATGATTGGTTCCTCTGGCGACGACCCTGTCCTGCGCTCCCCCTTTGGCCTGTCTGCCCTGCCTTGTCCTGCACTGATTGGTGGCTACCTCCTCGTTACCTCTCTGTGATTGGCTGTGGTGTTGGCGCATGGTGTAGTTCACCAAAATATGGGCTTCTTGCTGACAGGTATCACTTCTGTGAGAAGTGTTTCAATGAGATCCAGGGTGAGAGTGTGTCCTTGGGAGATGACCCATCCCAACCTCAAACGTAAGCGACTTCTCTTTTCCACTATTTTTAATCAGTGTCTTATTACAGTGTGATCTTTTTCTGCATCAAAAAACAAGTTTGTCGTTTTTTTCTAGTGTCTGCAGTATGAGTTCTTGTGATAACAATGGCACATACCAAGAGTTAAAACAGTTTATCTATGGATACAAATGGACTTTGTAGTAAATTTTCTATCGTTCTGTCAGGCTGACAGATATTTTTAGTTGTTAGAGTAATTTAGTATCTGCATTCAGCTACACAAGTAATATGGACAAGCATTTACTCCCATTGACTGCGGTCATAATCTGTCCCTGACCACCTCTGAATGTGGTTTTAGTGATCCAAACACAAAAAACTCATTATGTAGTCAAGTGCCATCCATTTTCTGAACATAGAAAATGCATAGTAATTGCCATGTAAAGGGCCTAAGAGAAAAAAAAATTAAACTTATGAATGCAGTCCATAACAATAAATCTCAGTAAACTTGATTTTGCCCTTTTGAGATTTTGAATCAAGATTTTTCAAGACCATAAATGCACCCTTTGATACTACAGAATCATTTTCTTGTTTTAATAGTGCTAAAATTTGCATGTATTTTCAGATCGATCAACAAGGATCAGTTTGAAAAGAAGAAAAATGACATGCTCGACCCTGAGCTGTAGGTTCATATAGCCTTAATTCCATCATATAGCCTTGTTCTCTCATCAAAATTCTCAGGATTAACACTTTTTTTTTTCTCTGTAGATTTGTGGAATGTATGGATTGTAGTCGTAAGATGCATCAGATCTGTGTTTTGCACAATGACACTATATGGCCATCAGGGTGAGTTTGCTGCAAAAAAATTGAATTCAACTGTCAACTGACTCTGCTCTTTGTTTCTAACCCCAAGATTCCTTTTTATTTCCCCTTATTTAGCTTTGTGTGTGATGGCTGTTTGAAGAAGTCCAACAAGACCCGTAAAGAGAACAAATATGCTGCTAAAAGTATGTAATTCCATTTTCTCTTGTTTTTTTTTCTCACTGATAATCCAATTAGTAATGACATTTAAACCTTTTTTTTTTTTACCTTCAGGGCTTCCACAGACCAAACTAGGCAACTACTTGGAAACGCGGATTAATGATTTTGTGAAGCGACATAATCACCCAGAATCTGGTGAAGTCACTATTCGTGTTGTTCATGTCTCTGACAAAGTGGTGGAAGTCAAACCAGGCATGAAGTCTAGGTGAGACAGGATAGATTATGACCAGACACTCACATTTAATACAACACATTTATCTGCTGGACTTTTCAAGAATAGTTCCTTAAAAACAGTCAGTCATTTATATTCTTGCTGTGAAGCCACATTTGTTTACTCTGATGTATAGTGTAAAGCTATAAAACCGAGGCAGGCCTATAATTTGTAATAATTGTCATCATGGCTTGTTTGTCGTGGCCTAATGGTTAGAGAGTCGGACTCGTAACCCAAAGGTTGCGGGTTCGAGTCTCGTACCGGCAGGGATTGTAGGTGGGGGGAGTGAATGTACAGTGCTCTCTCCCACCTTCAATACCACGACTGAGGTGCCCTTGAGCAAAGCACCGAACCCCCAACTGCTCCCCGGGCGCCGCAGCAAAAATGGCTGCCCACTGCTCCGGGTGTGTGTTCACGGTGTGTGTGTGTTCACTGCTGTGTGTGTGCACTTTGGATGGGATAAATGCAGAGCACTAATTCCGAGTATGGGTCACCATACTTGGCCACATGTCACTTTCACTTTTCACATGTCACTTTCACTTGTCTGCTTGGATTTTAATGACATCATTTTCTTTTCACAGGTTTGTGGATAGTGGAGAGATGGCAGAGTCTTTCCCATACAGAACGAAAGCTTTATTTGCATTTGAGGATGTTGATGGTGTTGATGTCTGTTTTTTTGGGATGCACGTGCAAGAGTATGGCTCAGATTGTCCACCCCCTAATCAAAGGTCAGGTATCTGTAACTGCTTTTTATAATTTGATGGGCCTGTTTTGGTTTCCTTCTTACTCTCTCCCCCCCCCATCCATCCTTTAGACGGGTTTACATATCCTACCTGGACAGTGTCCACTTCTTTCAGCCACGTTGTCTGAGAACAAGCGTGTACCATGAGATTCTTTTAGGATATCTGGACTATGCCAAAAAACAAGGGTAAGATGAGAACTCCCTATCCTACTGTTTCAGCAGATGTCAGCTAGGGCTGAACAATATTGGAAAATAATCTAATTGCGATTTTTTTTTACCAATATTGCGATTGCGATTTAATATGCAATTATTTTTTTATATAGACACGGTGAGTGAAACCGAGAGCGAGATATGCCTCTTTATATTTTCTGCATTTAGCTTTTGAATGACCAGCACCTGCCTGGGTCTGTGCGACTTCAT